TCAAGTACTTGCTCCAGTGACTAGCGGTCTGAGCAAAATATGCATTACTTCCAGCGCTCAGAACAGCAACTGAAGGAGAATTCAGATGTTAAGATCTTTTGACCTGAAATAAAATGCCAATTCACGTGCTTTCAAATAGCAGCATTCCTTCCCAAGAGCTGCGAAAATGGACATACACGAGAAGTCAAAAAAATCTGCAGAATGAGCAATTTTGAGTATGATCTGCTTTGAAAGAAACACATTTTGGTAGGACCTCGAGTTCTGTTACGCCAGGCTCCTCCCATACACACTCAAAATATGATCTCTAACAACAAAACCTGCAACACAATGCAGGAAGCAAGGGCAGAAGCAGCAGCCAAGTTTTTAATCGTAACTCCAAGTAACAACAGTAAATGCTAGACGGAAAGTGAAGTGGTTTCAAACTAAGCAAACTTGCAAGCAGGTCTATAAAGGAAAAAAAAGTTAAGACAGTCAAAATTTATGAATGTAAGTTCCAGAAAGACTATTCTTAAGACTAGCTTTGGCCTACAAGACTATCTGAATCATTCTCACTCAACTAGCATCCATCATAAAGACAAGTTAACAATGCCATGAATATGCAAGCATGGCTTTGTCACTAACCGAAACTATTTTTGTAGATAATATACTTCTGTAACAGAAAAGGCTCTACGTTCTGCAATTCAAGTTAAAACCCCAAGTTACTTGCTCACCTTCCAATTATTCTAAACCTTTTCTTTTATACCTGGAAAACCGGGTATATCCTTCTGTGTTCCTCCTTCACATCACTTTGGTCTTCACCCCCTGGAAAGGCTCTTGTAGCCACACGCTGGTACCATGAATTTGTCAGGGGTCAAGTAATTCCCACTTGAAGTCAAAACCCATGCTCCCTGAGAAGCAATCCAGACGAGTATTTGCCCAAGTTTCTTCTGCCCCTTTAGATGACTTGAGAGCTGTGTGTACCTCCTCCCAAACCCTTACTGTTTGTTATCAAACACTCCAGGGCGTTGTGTCCCAACTTCAAGGGCACGTTTCTGTGCTGCACAGCAGCACAACACAGCCCCAAGTGCCTGAAAGGGAGCAACGTTCAGGAACGTGAAAGCCTGACGGATGGAATCAAGGCAGAGAAAATGGTTCTTCTGTTCACCTCCTGTCACTGACAGATTATAGTAGAAAAGGAGAAAGTCAAGCACAGGTTTCTAGGGCTGCATAAAGAGCCCATTCATCAGGTTATAAAAGTCACCCATATTTGATTACATCAGCGTAACAAAGCCACGGTAAGAGGGATTTCTTTGGGAACTATCACTGCTGGAATTATGCAGGCAGTTGAGACACACTAGGAAAGGCGAAAAGATGCCGTCAGGCAGGCTAAGCAATCCAGCATGTGACAGGAGGGAAGCACCTGCTGAAAAACGCTTTAGTTGCACACATATATGCAACAAATTTGCGTTGCTGAAAGGAAGACTTATTGCAGCTTGCCTGATCCTCTTCTTACCACCAAATCCTTCACATCCAGATACACAGTCGCTATTTCTCAAAGGTACAGAGCATACACCACTCACCTGCACCACACTTAATTGCATGTTTAAACAAGTTAGTGAGAAGTTTACCCCACCTTCGAGTATCTGTTTCAAAGAATAGATAATCCATGAATGTATAAACACTCTAGGAGGGAACAGAACCACGGATGAAGGAGACTAAGAGGTTCTTGTGTAAAGAATATTAATTTTATATGATCCATATCTTCTTGTAAGCATCACTATAAAACTGGCAGATTAACAGCACTGGTAAATGGATGCAGCTGTTTTACTATTATTTTGGGTAGGCATGCTCAGTACTGTGATAAATCTCTGCTACATGCTCTCAGTGAATGCCACAATTTACAGGAAGAATCTTTAGTACTATTTTAGTTCACAGCCATGCAGCCACCCAGGTACATCTGCTGGTACACCAAGGCCTCAACAGCTTTTAGCTTTTAGGACTCCATCAGAATTCTCAAGCCCACCTATATTTTTTTCCATAAAGATGCTTCATTCTGAAGAGGACCAATATTTTGGACCATCAAAATTACAGAGAGACAGATACTGCAAGCCGTGGAGGAGGTAGAGAAGTAATTCTGCACAAAATACACGACACGCATCCATAAACCTCCTTTTCTAAGGAAAGACTACTAAAATAATTCATTAAAAGCAATTACCACCTCTTATGAGCTCAGATAGCTTCCTCCTACGAGCGGAGTACAAAGTGAATTTGCAAGTAGGCAGAAGAAATGGAATCCTGTAGGAGAGTTTGTGGCGGATTTAATATAAATAACAGAGCTGCAGTGAAATAAATAGGCTAATAGGATCAACAGTTAGCACGCAAGCAACAGGAAAAGGAAACAATTTTATCACAGGACAAAAATACACGTATTTTACATTAGTGCCTCAAGCTTTATGCCCAGTAAATTTTAAGGAAATATCATAACGATTAATATACACCTGCAAGGCAATATTAAAGAAAGCCAATATCATTAGCTTGTCTTAAGCAGACACATTTAAAAGCCTAGTAAAATACAATGGATGTTCTGATAGATACACTATATAGCTCTCATCCACTCTCCTTCACCAGCATAGGAGTTCCTAGATTGCTGCAACCACATCGAAGCAGAAAGTATTTGGCAATTAAAATACTAATATATTGGGCACCACTTGAGTCCCTTTATAAGACTGTATTTAGCTTATGTGCCTGTAACCCTTATGGGTCACTGTTCCATCTACAGCAGAGCAGTAACCTTACAGTTCTGCTCTCTAAACAGGAGCCTCTTAAAACCAGAGGAAAATCATCTTTTTGAAGTCCTCTCTAAAAGAGTTTCACATTGCCAGAATGTACAGTAGAGTGGAAATAGTAAATCCTAGCTTGCGTATCAATGCTTCTGAGTAACAGCTGTGTTGAACAACAGCTTTTGAAGACAGAGGAAGATACACAGCACAATGCATTTTCCAGATTATTTAGAACACTGCAGTATGCCACATAATAAAGGCCATTTGGCAAGCTAACATTGGTACATTTGACAGCAGAGAGTTTTGGGATGCTCTGTCTGAAGCATCAAGTATACAGTTTTTTAAAAGGAAAAAAAGTCTAAAAGATACCAGTTCTAAAAGCAAAAAGTCACAAAGAACAGGAATACAGCTTTAAGCTGAAAAAAAAAAGTATATTTATTTATATAAAAATAAAATTTAGGCCATACAGGGCAGAGAAAGTGTTGCAGTTCAAGATAGAACAGCCAGGTCCAAGAGGCAAAACCAGATTTCTGTGGCAGCATTTTAAGAGACTGGAAAAAGAGGGAAGACAGCAAACAAAAGAGCTAAATATTCCTAGTGAACTAAAATAAAAGCAGCATATACTTCTGTCATAAGGACAAAATCATGCTAAGAATGCCTGAAAAAGCAGAGGAGAGAATGAAAGTACTTTAACCATTTTACTTCAAATTCTAAAAAAATGAATACTTACTCAGTGAAATAATGTCTATTTAGCTAAGCAAATGTATAGAATGAATTGCAGACTGCACTTTTACTTTTGTCTATTCCATCTCCAGGTAACTCATATTATTCAACCAGGAAAGTCAGAGATAAGAATGAAAACAGACTTCACAAAGGATGATACCAAACACTTTGTCAGAGAAATGCACATCTGTTCAAGATACCTGCTAGCACAACTCTTTTCCTTTCTAATTTTAGCAAATTAAACTATTGACTAGCACTTCGCATATTATCCATTTTATGACTTTCCACATAATACAAGTAAAAAGACTTTATTTCCTTTTATCACGATACTGAGAATGGTCTGTAGAAGTTATTGCACTGTACACCCATTGGCTCAGCTTCCTGGCCATGAATACCTGACTCTCATTACACAGACACCTTACACTCAATTCAGTAAGGGCTCTCAGACTAATAAGGTTAAGACAGCCTAACACAGACTTACCATGCCAAGTAAACCATGACTGCAGTCCATGCACACAACCCAAATCCGTGGCAAATGCAATTACAGCAACAGCCCAACTCTTTTGCCTTGAAGACTGTTACATCGCATCACCATGTTTTTGCTGCTGGCTAAATAACACAGTTGCTGTAACTAAACCGATACTGTCAGCTCATTAAACCACGATAAATTTAATAGTAAGCCTAAGATGAATGCTTCTTCTACTTAACTGACCCGATATTCATCTGTATATACCCTGGGAGAAGCACTAATTACAGTTCTGAAACTCTAACCAGAAGGTACTTCTGTCCAGCACTCGGACATTACCTCCCGACAACATTTAATTAAGCTGCGGAATGCCTTGCCACAGGATGCTGTGCCTCCTAAGTTCTCCAAAGGCTCGCACACCAAAAATCCAGAAACATTGCCACTGGCTCAGAAAATCTGTGAACATCCTACTGCTAAAAGCTGGGAGAGCGTCCTTGGGGAGCAACACAGCATGCTTCCCCATCCTTGTCCTCTCCTTAGAAGTCTGTTACTGGCTACCGTCAGAGACAAGATAGTAAGCACTGGGGAGTTTTGGTCTAATCCAGTACAGTCACTCCTCCAACAAGATTGCTTGCAAGCAGATTTTTCTGCCCTAATCCCCAAGAGGATAGCAATTAGCCAAGGTTCAGATTATATTCAGCTAGAGTCAATATTATCTTCGCCTTTCACTTGCAATTAACTGGCAATTGCAGAACAGAAATCTGTTGACACAAGCTGCGTCTCAGCAGAGAGCAAACTAGTATGACCTCCATTTTTCGAGGCACGAATATGCAACACAAAGCTGCTACACTTACACTTATGCCCAAGGCTTGTCACCTAAATTCTCATGCGTTCAGCTGAGTATTTCTGGCATCCTTCTGGTTTTACTACAATTATTTAACAGGCATAAAGTGGTTGTGAACTCTCTGTTTGCAGTCCTGTAACTTAAAGCAGTGAAGCACTTGCATCAAAACTCAATTTATCCCAGCAAACTTAACAGTCGCAGAACTTACATTTTCCTGGTCAGAAGACAAAGGTGGCTCCACTAGAAGAAGCCTCTGCTCAGAGCTGTCATCTTCCGAGGCTGCCTGGGTTGTTGTTGAGCCAGACATGTGTCCCTTTCTGAGCCGTAGGACCGGCTCTGGAGAACCAGCATTATCGAGTTCCGTTAGTTCATTCATGAGATGCTGGGAGCCGTCCCAAATATCCTGCCTCCTCTTGATTCGGTTTGGCTGATGACGCGTTGACTCTGAAAGACAAACAGTTCATATAACTAAACTGAAGTTACGATGGAGATCACAAACTGGCTGGAAAAAGAGCATGCCGAAAAGCTGATAGACAGCTGTGACGAGTGCCTTTACACGTGCCCAAATCCCCACAAAACCATCTGTATAGACTTCTACGCTGCTGTAAAGTGAATTCTCATCTTGTGAGTGCTAACACTTCAGTATCCTAACTGAAATTAAGTTGAAAGATGACAGAAAGCGAGCTCCAGAGATTCACAGTACATTCACAGAAGCACAACAGTGTTTTTACAAACTATTTTTATTTTTCACTAACTTGCAAACACTGGACTGTTGGTAGTATTTATAAATAAATTACTTGTCACAGGCATTCTAGAGCCATCAGCTTTTTGTGGCTATGAGACTCATTTCAAATCGTCTGGGCTAGGTTTCACTAAAACCAGGGCATTAAGTACTGGTATAGCTGTGTGGTTGGTAGCAAGCAGAGCTCAAGAACAACTAGCTTTAGCCAGACTTAAAGGAGGGCAAAAGTACACAGACATCATGTTGTTCCCACTGCTCGAACTAACATGTTCACAGTTACTGCTGGGAGTGGGTCTGTACCTTTACCTGTACAAGGAATTACGCCAGAAAGCTGTAGACACCGTTCATCCCATCCCATCTGTTGGGAATCGATAAATTCCCCAGAAAACCATAAGCCATACTATCTACCCAGAAAATTAACTATATCTTACACTTATAAAACTGCAAAAAGAATATGGGATAAGTTTAACTTAAGGTGCCAAAGATTAATTAAAATTGCAGAAAATTACCTGCTGCCAGCCTGTTAATCTGAGCCCTTGTCTAAGAGGCTTAGTGGTTACCTCTTTATCTGGTACATCACTGCGTGGCACTCACTGCAGCAGCCAGCCAGAAGCTGCCTTGGGAGGCACAGCAGCCAGGGCACTTTTCAATCAGAATGCCAGAAACCAGCAGGATGAGTTAGTGCTCGGCAGAGACAGACTGCAGAGTCACTTTGAATCAGAAGCTCTTCGTTTTGTACTAATACTCACTTGGTATCATTCTATTGTTGGAGCATTTAAGTGCTTCGATGTGACTAACGTAACATGAAGATAACCCATCTAACAAGCTTGAACTTGCCAGAGCGCATAATTAGACTGGAATTTTAGCGTTTAATAGGAGATGCTGAACTTCGTCAGAATGGAGAACCAATTAAAAAGATAAGCTGGGGGGTTGATACTGGCGGTATTGTAGTAAAATGTCACTTCCAAAAGCCAATAAAGCAAGTACCCCCTTCCTCTAAGGGATTAATCTCCTTTACATACGACCATGGCAAGGTAATTCTCAGCTCTGTCAGATGTGCTATGGTTAATTTTGCTGTAGCACTTTTGTAACGTGACATCCCTGCAGCTGCCTGGCAGTCCCCAGGGCAGAGAGCTGCTAATGAGCAGGTGACAGCCTGCAGAGCCCCGGCACACCCCAGCGCCCAGCACGGGGAGCTCACCGGGTGCCAGCAGAGCAGATGGCGTGCCCACCTCGCTGCTAGCTCCGCCACGGGGTCTGTGACCTCCCCCGGAGAGCTAACACCTGAAATGGTCACATCTGCTTGCTTGCTAAACCCGAGAGCCACGGGACTTCTCACCCCACAAGAATTAAGCCATAGTTTTAACAGCGTTACACAGGAAGCCCGATGAAGAATTTGAGCACGTGGATTTTACGAGCAAATATTTAGCCGGCTACAGAACAACTGAAATCTTTCGTGATGCTTCAAGCGGCCAATTCACAATTCTATTTTTATGCGAGAAGCACGGGGACACTGCCACACTGCAGCTTGCCAAAACTGATCGAGGGGAAGAAGGAAGAGCATGCAATAAGAGCTACGTTTAAAAAATGAAATTTACTGGGTAACTACATTTAAAAGGTAACTTAATAGAGGTTAATTTCAGTACAGTGCGCTGTACCACAAAGCAAAGAAGTCTACAAAGGCAAACGGCCATCTGCAAGCAAACAGGCGCAGCAAACACCCCTGCCTGAGTTCCACAGCACCTCAAACAGGTTGGCCACAGCAGGTTGCAAACTGCTCAGTTTGCATTAGCCATTTAACCAGCGAGTTATACTAGTTTTTCCTTCTGCCAGCTTCAAGCACCAGAGCCAGCAGCGCGCTGCATTACCTGCTACGTTGCCTAAGAGCACGGCCTTACTTCGCCTACACCTCTATGGCATTGCAGGAGCAACGCTCAAAGGCAGAGACACAGCATCAATGCAGCAGGCTTAGCCACGCTTGGCCAACGGACTTATGAAAGGCTCTCCTAATACGAGAAGGTGCACGAATGCCAAGAGACTGCTTAACTCAGGCCTTGAAGACTTACTGAACCAGCACTCGCTGCCAAGCGATCGCTAGGGTTAAAAATAAAAGATGCGTTTCACCTCCTGCCAGGGAGATTTGCCCTCAGCAGGAGGGATGAACTCTAGCTTCACGTGAGTAGAAGTCATCATGTCTTGGCATCACAGTGGACTCACTCAGTTCAGTTAAGCTGCTTCCATGCTGCCCTTGATGCAGGATTATTTCAGTGCTGGATATCCTTACTGAGTATGCAGGGCAAGCTACCCAAATAGTCCAAAACCATCACTAGTTCTTAGTCCCTTCAGAATTCGTACTACAAAAGCCAAAAACATGCACCTGAGTGCAACGTGGAATTGCAAACCGAAGAGTGCTAACAGCCAAAATCATTGATTCACAAGTGAAGGAAAGCAAGCTGGGATTATGAACAAGAAAATCAAGATGGTCTTTAATTACTGTAGGTTTCTGTGACTCCATGGTTCAGTGAAGGGCTTGAATGCCTGGGAAGACTTTTCCCTAAGAAAACAGGAAGTCTAAGCATGAAGTCTGAGTGGGGTCAGCAGCACCCAGCCAGAAGATGACAGGCAGAGCTCTGTGAATGAATGAAGGCGGCGCGTTGCTCCATTCTGCCCCTCAGACTGGGCAGTTCAAAGAAAGAAAATCAAAAAAAAAAACACCTCCAAAACACTCAGTGTCGGAAGAGGTTGTTTTGAGATTTTAAATCTCAAATATAAGGCCTTTAACTTTTTTGCAGCGTGCAACAACTTAAAAATATCCATTAAAATTAGCTCCTATTTAAAAAGGAAGTTGCCAGGTACAATTAAAACTACTTAATGACTGCATATATAGTAAGCATAATATCAGCATCTAGATCAACTACTGAGTTCCTGCTGCGCTTCAGATCAGCTGAGGAAAGCATCTACAGAGGTTGGTGTGTATATATATTACTTCTTTTAAAATATACAGAACTTCTAAAGGCTAAGTCAGCTTTCAGAAAGGACTCACGACTTTAATACTACCCCAAGCTCTAAAGCAAAATGCTGCTCTCCACCGGTCCATTGCCCCAACACACTGCTGCTGCCACCACGAAGCTCTAAGAGCCCAAGTGTTTAGCACCCCCAGCTGCTCACTCCTCCCCAGCTCCAAAAAGGTCAACCCTACAGCAACAACAGCCAGCAGCAGTTTCAGGCTGGAGACAGAAACTTGTCATCTTGCTGGAAAGAAATTCAGAAGGCAAATCTATTGCAGCAGCTCACCGCAGTTGTGCAATGGCAGAGTCGTCAACATCCAGAGTCACAGAGCATATTCGGGACACTGCTTTACTCCTCAAGATGACAGGGGAAGAGGAGTTACACAAGCCTGAGTGCCACAGGATGATGATGTTTCTTTGTAAATCCTTCCTGGATATTCTCAAGAGAAAAGCCTGTGCCAGCTTACTAACCTTCCCCAAGGTAAGTCATACAGCCCTTGTAAGCTCCCAAACTGCCTGCCACAAGGACTGGCTTTTTACCCAAGCTAAACAGCACCACACGGTAGCAAGCAAACAAAGCACTCCAAGGGCAGTTTTGTAGTTAAACATTATCACAAGGAGTTACAGATCTCCTAAACAGTCCCCAGGTGGTCACATTACCTCCCGCTGGCTAGGCGAAGCAACCTCTCCAACATCCAGCTCCTCCCAGTGTGTTCCTCCCATGAACAGCACGGAAATCCCTTACGAGCCATTTCATTCTGTCTACAGCTGGAGTATTTGAAAGAAGGAAAATGTCATCTCTCTACATTCCCCTCTCATTGATCAATAGCCTGATAGAAGCCTTCCTGTTTGGGAAGGTAGTGACATCCACTCTGTATGTCCTTTCCTTGCTCATCCTCTTCCAGCCAACCCTTAGACCAGCATGAGCAATGTTTAATGGGCATCACAGGACTAATCTTCATAATATTAGTTCATCATCCCCAACAGAGCTTCGTTATTGCAAGAACGAAAGGTCACCATGAAATCTCAGGCTACACCATGTCTCACAACACCAATTAATTTTTAAAGAAGGGCTTAAGTGCATGAGAGGTCTCCTACAAGTTGCTATTTCAACCTCCAAACTTGGCCTCGCCTGCGTCCCTGTACCGCCACGGCTACAAGAACAGCGCTCCTCTATGAGCTACACGCACAGCAGCAACGTGGCACAGCTGATTGAGCAGTAAAACACCTATGGGCTGACTAACTTTACAAATCCTGAATCCTTCAGTCCAGGCCCTGGTAACAAAACAGGTCCAAGCCCATTTCTAGAACTGTTAGCGCCGATACAAAGTACTACCAGTACAACCTACAGGCAGACCGTGCTAAGAATGGGGTAACGGAGGGGATTTCTGCATATAATCTAGCTGATTCTGGCTATTTTAACTGTGATGTTGTACGCTGAATAGATCAGTCTACATGCAATGTGTCATGAAAGCTGTAATCTGCTAGAGAGGTTCTGACATGAGTAGCCCCTCCCAAATGATACAGCAACTCCAACAGCACTCGGTAGCATCACACAATGGCTTAAATGACTCTCAGGTGACACTGGCATCATCCTGTCACCCAACTCATACAGCAGGTTCCCTCACTTCCCAGCACCAGCATTTAACTGGGTTTAGCAGCGAACTGCTGGCATGTTGGTTGTTTGGGGCTGT